TTGGTATCCTTGGTATCCTTTTGCATGATAGTTACAAAGATTTACTATTTACTATTTACTCATTGTCCTCACGTGTAAATAATCTATATGGTTTGATGTAAAATGTCAGAAGAATGTAAGAGAAAGCTCATTCTGTTGAGTTAGAAGAGGGGGGTGAGATTAAATAAGTATTTCTTCTTCACACTCCTTTTTGGGTAATTGTTGTTGTTGCTGTTGTTGTTCTTGTTTCTGCTGATACGAACACACTGATGAGAAGATAAAAGGTTTACTTATTATTATTTATTATATGATATTAATGATATTATTTTATTATATTTATGATATTATTTAGCAGATAATGGACATTTAATCATTGTTTACTTAGTGTGATGCACCATTTGATAATAGTGTTGTTATCTTATGAACAGACGCAGAGCTACCATTAGGCAAAAGTAGGTAGCTGCCTACGGGCCCCCAAACCTGGAGGGGCCCCCAACCAACTGCCTTCAGTGCCACTAATGGCCGAGGCCTCAGAGCAATTTGATTTCCCCTGAATATGACATTAAATTACTTCGTAAACAATAATCATAAGAAAATATAAGAATAATCATATGTAATGTAAACAAAAATGTAATTGTAGTAGCAAAAAATAAAACTTTAATATCTAGGAGGCTACTGAACTAATAAGACAAGTTTCCAATAAAACTCAAAAACCCAAACTCAAGTTCACCTAGGGTCCCCAAATTGCTACCTCCACCATTGATCAATTGAATTATTATAACATACAGTTCTTGTTTGCTATTATATATTTTTTTTCTCCATAATTTAAAAGAGTTGCATGGATTATCCAGTCCAATATATTATTCTATGCAATCCCTGTTTTGTTTTAGTTTAGTTTTCAATGTGAGATAGTCCATTTAAAATGAATGACAAAAATGCAAAAGTTGCCAAATGACCTTTCTTTTATTGTCAACGCTGTGTACAACCAAGTTTGGTCCTGCATTTTTGTCATCTCTTCTGCACGATTGAATTCTGATTCTGTTCAGACCTGGTACCCTGCTAGATACCTAGTTTGTTTATACTCAGAAAGTCAAAGTTTCAGAACCCCTGCTCTAAACACCTTCATAGTGACTTCAGTGTTGCATTAAAAGTTGCTTGTGCTGCGGATGCATGTGGCAGTGGCCTGTCTTACGTGCCCTGGTTCACACAGTGTGAATGAGCATATCCTGTCTGTGCCAATGACATGCACAAGTACATTCCCTCACTGGCCTACATCAAAGCCCCGCTGCCTTCATCCTATCCAGCGTGCTAATTTGTGTGTGATTGATAAGTGGAGTTCTCAGGCGATCGCAAAGAGTCGCCTAAAAAATGTGACACGGGGGCATCTTTTTGAAATCAGCTTTACAAGTGCGGAGAGAGAAATTACCAGCGGGCCCATTCCCAAAATAAATAAATAATTTCCAGTGAGCGTTTGTTGGGAATAAGCTGTCACACGTTACAAATAAGATTACCTTTCGGAGTGTGCCCGGGAACTTAGATGTGAGGGATGCACGGTGAGACACTAAAATAGCTCAAAATGTTTGGTTTTTATCAGCGAGCTCGATCTGTGTGCTGTTTATGGTTCTTCATGCACTGTGCAAGGAGAGAAAAAAGAAAAATTGCAGCTTGGAGCACATTGTAATTTGTCTTGGTAAGGTAGGAATTGTCACTAAAGGATTGGAGATTTGGTTGGGATTCAAAAAAAGAAATAAAGAAATGAGAAATGTGTTTTTTCTTTAAAGGTGCATTGTGCAACTTTTCTGGTGGAGGGTCAGTCAAATATTTTTCTCCATGAAGATGTTATTGCTTTGTATGAAATATTTCACAGTATGGCATTAAACCTTTCTACTGTCACTGAGACCAAACCAGGCCTAATTACAGTTCAGATTTGTGGAGAGGCGACCATGCTCACAGTTAGTTAGTTTTCTAGGTATTTTTGAGCAATAAAACCACCTGTATGACTAAATCTAAGGTAGATCTGTTTAATGTCATACTGTGGAACATTCAAAGTAAAGCAATAACATACCCATAGAAACAAGAAGGTGATGGACTCCCAAGCAAAATATTACATAGTGCATCTTTAATAAAATGTCTTAAATTCATTATTTATAAATTTTAGATTTATAAATACACTACAGTCAAAAGTTAGTTTTTTTTCTATATGTTTACTACTTTCTACATTTGATATAAACACAGAAAACATCAAATACTAGTAAAGTCGGACGTACACTGTGCGATTTTTGGCCTTTTTTGAGCCGATTTTTCACTCATGCAACTGTTCTTTGGGATCAAACAGAGTTTTCACTTAATCATGTGTCATTCTTTGTGTAGTAAACATGGGGTAATGAGAACCTAATACCTCACGACCACAGACTGTATAAAAGAAGTGGACTAAGCGAGTGTGACATTACCCATAGCGTTCAGTTACACTCAAATGAGGCTTGCGAAGTTAACGGTTACAGAAGTCTGGAGCCAGGCTCTATATTATGAATAGGATTAACAGGACAAATTAGTGAAAAAAAAAAATTCTGAATCATGTAGAGCGGATTCATATGAACATTTTAAGACCAAAATGATGAGGGTCACAGCAGAGAGAGGGACAACAAGATCCTAATATAAGTCAATTGGAGGGTCTGAAGAAGCCAGAAGAGCCTCCTGGAGAACTTCTTATTTGGCACACGACGGCCAGCACATTAGCTATGTCCACTTATATATATGGTCTATGCTCACGACCAATCCCGAGCGGCAATCGTAGGTCACAAGAATATCCGACCTGTTTGAAATCCAGTCGCCTCTCGTGAGGGTTTCGCACTGTTGAAGTAGTTCGTATAGTGTGAAAACATGAATCGTGAGCTGTGAACTTTGAAACCCTGTAATTTGGTTGAACAGTTTGAGCTGGGGCTGAGTGAAACAATCGAAAATATCAGTGTACGTCCGGCATAAGACATGGAATTCCATATATCTTGCTACATATCTTCGCGTCTTTTGTCTTCAGTGTTTATCTAAAATGTAGAAAGTAGTAAGAAAAGAGAAACAAAAATACTGAATGAGAGAGTGTGTCCAAACTTTTGACTGGTGTGATTTAAACATACATGACCAGTCAAGCAAAGCATATGGAATTATTTAGTCATGACTTTCTATAACTCTACTAAACATTTTTCAACAAAAGGTGGGTAATTTGAGTTTTTTTTGGGTTTTTTTGCTACATAATTCCAAATATCTTACTTCATGTGTTTGATGTCTTCTGTATGTCTATCAAAGGTAGAAAGTAATAAAGGTATAGAAAAAAAAACATTGAGTGGTGGTGAGTTCAAACTTTTGACTGGCAGTGTATGAATCAATTTTACTTTAGATTTCCCTTTTGATAGTGAAAATGTACATGGGTTGCAAATATTGAGGCTAGCAATAAAGATTATAAAACAGCAAATTGGGGGAATTGCAGTTATAAAATTTGCATGAAATAAAAAAACATGCAAATCTTGTGTTTATATTGCAGTCTGAGGTTTGGCACTGAGTGGATTACGCATGGTGTTATCAGAAGGGGGGAGTTGAACAGAGGCACAGGCAGATTTTCATGTGTTGATTAGTTCTAAATGGGCTCTTGTCTGAAGCCACAGCTGTCACAACAATTCCCCTGCACCCTGCATATCTGAACATGTCGTTAGTGTAAAACAGGTGTAATTAAAGGACACGCTATTAAGAGCTGTGTTAAATCCAGGTCACTACGTCTCTGTTCGTGTCTTAATAAATAGTCTTACATTATTAATGCTGAAGTAGAGATGAGCTGGTACACTGCACTGATACTGTAAAAAAATAACCACAAGATGAGAGATGATTCATAACATAAGAGTTACTTTAGAATGAGATCACTCAAGCTAAATGACATAAATCAAGCTAAATGACATAAATTCCTATCAATGTATCATCTAAATTTACCAAAATACAGGAAGGTAAGTAACCTGACTACTCCTAAAAAAAACAAAACACACACATCCTTGTGAATCAATAAAGTAAATACTTTGGGTCACGTTCTAGAAATTGTCCATGTGAAAATTTGACATGGATGCAGAAGGGAATATTTAAACACCACATTATTAAATGTTTATGGTGCCAAATGAAATGGCATATATTGAGGTTACTGAGGTTCACAAATAAAGCATTTGCTGATAGAACAGTCAAGTTCTCCACCACAAGCCCAGTAATCTTGAGCCTGTACATTCTAGTTACTCTTTAGAGTAATCACATCATCTGATGTTATGGTCAACCCTATCTGCGTCACTCTGTGTTATGTTTACACTAATGCAGAGTGCAAAGGAAATGAAACAGAACATTGTATTCCTTAAATACTGTTTATGTGTGATACACACACAAAGTTTGTAAATGCTGTCAAAGGCAAACAGTGCATGTTTCACGACTGTCTGTTCACACCTCATGAACGTTCGTCAAGTAGTGACTAGTCGCCTATGCCCTTATAAATACTGATAATATCCAAAACTAAATCACCTGTAATCAAGCAATGAATCAAAATAGAGATTGCATGTTTGACACTTTAGTAAAGACACATTTCCATGGATTTTGAAAATGTACTCCAAAATGAATTTTAATTTAATAGTTTGAGAGAACATTCTTTCCAAAGTGAATTATTGAAGGATCTAGTATTTGCAGGAACTAGATAACTAGAAACATTCCTAAATCAACAATCTTGTGACTGCTGTGACCAGAAATAAACCGATTCATATCATTTTCAGACTCTTACATAATCCAGCCCTTGTGCCCCGTTTAATGGATCACTTGGAACAACTTGATTTTGCCTCGAAGAGACGCCTCTCTGAAGTCCACACTAGAGGGACCATGGGAAAGGCTCAGGACAAGAGGGAAGATGAATAAAAATATAACAACAAAACATTTCAATGGCACAAATTTGTTATCAAACTTCTGTGATATTGAAAAGAAAATAGAAAGGGAAATACCAACAAATAATCAAACTGTAACTGTCTTTGGCAAATAATTGGATAATCTAGATGACAACTAATAAAAAGGATTCTCCAACAGTCAGACCCATTCACCCTCTTAAGTGATGAAGTAAGACTGGATGTTTATGATGTCATCCACTTAAGTCAATGTACCACTCTTTTTATGCTTCTTTAAAAATTGCATAATAATAAATTACTCACCTATTCATAATTCACTTTTACTTAAATGTAACACTTTTGGCAAACTTATAGTCTGTCTACATCTCCATAGCTCAAAATGCTCTGTTCCACCTTGTGATGTCAGTGTGTAGTGACAGTTTTCAAGTTAACAGCTACCCTTTACCTGATTCTAGTGAAGGTGTATGGAGTTTAAAAGTACAGTGGAGTACTTCTTGCATTACTACAAGTGTTTTTTGTTTATATATAATATGATATAATATAATATACAGATGATAAAACAGTGTAGTGTGGGCCGTTTAACTGCCCATGTCTCTTTACACAAAATATATACACATATTAATACTAATCTTAAAAAATATTGTAAATGTAATTACTGTAGAGCCATGTCTATTTGGTTAACCATATACTGTATACACTGATTTGCACAGGTTACCATGCTTCAGTATAAATGTGGACCTCTGACATTATAAATCCATATAGTGGCTTTGGACACGACTACTTGAACTTAAACATCAGTCCAAATCACGGCTCATAAAAACTTTTACCACATGAAGCAGACAGCAGCAGTTCTAATGCAGTGGTGGTGTTAAACCTCTGTAGCCACATGCACTCCTCCTGCCTGGATGGTAGCCTTATATGACTCCAAAACAGGGCCGGAGCTGTCACCACTGCCCCAACACTGAACCCTGAATCAAAGTCACTCTGATCTCTCACTTCTGATCCAAAACAAGGATCCTCACAGCCCCATGTGCATTTTAATTCAGGACTCTCTAGGCATATAGTGAGTTCAGTGGATGGAGTAACATATCTTATTTTTTTTTATTCTAATTCACATTATATAGGCCATATTTTTAGGCATATGTATTATAGGGTGGTCCACACATTTTTTTTTAGATTCTCTAGATGTGGTTCCATGTCTGACCAAAATATTTGGGTCCAAATTTTGTGCAAATTAATTAATATTTAGAGGTTGCTCAAGACTTAAAAATTGCCCTATACTGTAGGGCCTATAACATAGCAAAACAAATAAGTATGACATATTAAAATAATTTGTCATTTTATTCTGCAAACACAAACTGAAACTTACTAAAATTACGTAGAAAGTCCATAAAAGTTGCTTAGAACGTCCATAAAGTCCATAAAAAGAAAGTCCAGCAACCACAAAAAATGGGATCACAAAAGATGTGCCTGTGCTCTTTGACAACCTGCAGTAGATTCTGTTTATGATCTTCATTCTTTGTTAGGCTACAGTTAAAATCTTGAATAAGCTTCATCCCCTTTCAGCAACATCACTGACAATTTTCCTGGAATGCACAATTTTAGCATCCTTCTGAAAGTCTGCATCATTATCCCAGTCTGGTGGGGAATTGTTCAAAATGTTTTTGGCAGATCAAGAGCTTTGAAGAAATGCATCGTGCTGGTGGTGACAAAATCACTGATCCGCTTCCCTTCATAATCTGCTTGATTAAGAGCATCACATTGCTTTGGTGGAACCTCTGAACCTTCCTCTTCCATAATATTGTGAACCATCAGCTTCTTCTGTTCTTCTGTCACACTGGAGTCGAAGAATGCCAGACCAATCATTTCTTCTGTCAAGTACCAAAGATGTTGTCCAAAAGCTGTTAAGGCTGCTTTCTTGACAACTGCATTTTTATACTGTGACAGCTTCTGAAGAAAACCTAATGCAGGGTTCTAATCGAGGTTATATGAAACTTTATTTTTTTACCTTGATGGATCACACTAATGTATACATGTCTTCAATTCATACTCAAATCTAGTTCGGCTATAAAACAGGAACAACATAGCGTACACTTTTACATCATGTTTTCCTGTTTCTATTATGGCCTTTTCTTTTAATCTGTGATTCTACAATGTGAGGTGGGGGATAAGGGTCGTCTTTTCCTATTGATCACATTTTACTTTCCTCTGACACCTATCTAAGAGGGTAAATTAGCAAAGGCCTATTATTAGCCTATAGAATGTTTTAATGTCATCAGAAACCCAGCAACTCAGTGTGTTTTCTTAATATTTTCAGATCATATAGACTACAAACTCCACTATCATGCTATTTGTGTATATAGCCTCTGTTCCATTTATGCACCAGAAACATTAAAGGTCCTATAACACTCTGAATTGACTCTTATGAGCTTGAAGCCATGTTACAATGTTCTTACCTCATCAATTCACACACACGCACGCACATACACTCACACACACACAGACATACACACATACACACAAGTTTGAGTAATTTATTATTAGCTTGTCTACAGCTCCAAAGCTCTAAATGTTTTCAAGTTAACAGCTTCCCTTTTCCTTTTGTTCAATAGAGATCAGCAAATCCAGGGCTGAAATGATATTATTCATTATTCATTATTCTAGTGAAGGTGTATAGAGTTTAAAAACATAATGGAGAGTTTCCTGTATTACCACCTGACATCATGAGGTGGAGTGTTTTCTGTTTGAGAGAAGAGCTCAGCCTAAACATGCAGGATGTGTGGGTTAAACATGTAAAAATGAAACAAAACACAACTCCAGGTAGGTTTGTGATGAGGAAACAACATTATGGCGTCAGTAGCTCAGTTGGTAAGAGTGTATGTCCACTGACCCGCAGGTTGGCTGGTGTGATTCCAGCTCCCATGGATGAATGCTGTTGTCATGTCCTTGGGCAAGACATTTAACTCACCTCGCACCTAGTGGCTGTGTGTATGCATACACTGGTGTATGAAAGGGTGAATGATTCCCTGTTGTAAAGCCAGGGCTCCCACTTTGTTTCACTGACAAAATTTAAAAACTTTTCCATGACTTTTTCATGACCTAAAGTGAATTTTCCATCACTTTACGGCACCCTACATGTGTAAATTTGATAATATTTTCAGGGCTAAATATCAAATGTTAACCCTTTCAACTCACCTTATGGTTTGGTATTATAGTTTTTTAACATTCAACTACTACTACTACTACTACTACATACTGCATTTATTGTCTTCTCATTTAAACAAAAGGCACGTAAGTTCAAAAATAATCATAACAGCCTAATGATAATTTAGCTATAGTTGCGTGAAAGATATATTGAAATTCCATGACTTGTCCAAAACTTTCATTGAATTTACAAAATTCCATGACTTTGTAAAGCCTTGAGAATGACATTTTCAATTTCCATGACTTTTCCAGGATTTCTATGACCATGGGAACCCTGTAAAACGCTTTGAGTGCCTTGAAGATGGAAAAGCACAATATAAAAATGTGACGATTTACCATTTAAATATGCAGGATGTGTGTGTTAAAAATTTATAAATGAAACAAAACACAACACCAGGTATGTTTGTAATGACTGATGATTCATTTTTATTTCGAGTTTGTGCCAAGAGAGAAACAATAATCATGTATACTACTTATACATTGTAAACAACAGAAAAGCACATTTCTCGAAAAGGAGTGGGAAGAAGAAAAACTTATTATTTTATATTAACCCACTCCTGTTCATTACATAGTTTCAAAATTATGTGGTTACTTAAGAACATTGATCACGGAACTTTACAAATATTTAAATTTAGCAAAATAAATGACATACTATGCATACTAAATATACATTTTAACCCAAAACCTCACCTGTCACTCACCCTCATACCACAAAAACAAAAATTCTTTATAATTTATTTCGAAGCTGTGAATATTTTCTCCCAACCCACTGCAGAGACTGACCCCCACACAAAGATACACAGAGGCTTTTCCTGGTAGTTCTCACTGTTTTTGTTTTAAATTTACCCCTTCTCCTTTATTCATAGTGTACTTCTTGTGTCCTAAACAGTTTTTGGATAGTTAATGCCAGTATATTTTTGAGGATGAGGAAACAACATTATAAAATAGATCAGAAAGTACCCTAATATGGACCTTTTAAACTATTATCATGCTATTTGATCTGCAGCAAACTCTATTCCATTTATGCACAAGAGACATTACCATTATTAAAAACTCGAAACAGCACAGCATTTCCAACAAGCAGACCCAAACAAGCCCACTTTTCCCCGACTTCCCACTCCTCCATCCTTATGTGGAGAAGGGCTGTGACTCGGCTGGTCGCGGGGCCGGGCTGCGGGCTCTGTTTTCGGGCTGGGTGACACCGCTGGCCCGCTGCCTTACATGGGCAAACCTTACATGGGCAAACCTCTGAACTCGCTGCACACACGGCTGGAATTTCACGCACTGACGTCACGCCGCACGCTCTCTCCCCAGTCCCACTATTTTTTGGACCAAGAAAGTTTTTCACACTAATTTGGTGGGATTTTGCAAGCGTCTGATTGATTCTTAGAAAGCGAGGTAAGTGGATTGTCGAGTTGTCTGCTTGGGCTTTGAACGCGAGCTTTCCCCTACTTCCTCCGGCGTGAAAACTCGTGGTATTTCTCAAGGTATTTCAATTTGCTCGGCCTTGTAAAGCGATCTGTAATATGCATTTTTACTGTAGCTTCCCTTAGTTCACAGCGAGGGCGTGGACTGTCGAGTTAGCATGCTTTCTGCCTGCTAAAGTTTCACCACGGGGACCCAAACCAAACCAACCCGCCAACCAGGCTACTTTTTAGTCACGTTACTTTTCTTTTCTTAGCCCCTGCCACCGATCGCTGACAACATTTGACAAAGTGAACGTCAAGTTTCGCAGGGGTGAAAAAAAACTAGTCGGTGGTGGTCGGGGCGTCTTGGCTGGTGTCTGTTTTTAGCTGAGCAATGCGGAAGAAGCGCTGTCAGCAGAGAGACAAGGGAGCCCCCCGAAGCACGCAAAAAGTGTCGCTGAATGCGCGTCCCGTCTCGTATGCCACTCAAAAACTGTCCCCAAAGTGAAACCGAAGCCGTAAAAGTTAGCTTACCGCTGTTCAGGCCTTGTTTTGACTGAGTGAGACAGGGGCTAACTTATTTTTAGCAGCACTGATTCGCCACGTCGTGTTAAAGATAAAGTTCAAAGTGTGGTCATTTCATATTTCATTCATTCATCTTTTAAACAGTATAGATTAGGGAGACCAGATGTCCCTGTTTACCCGGGACAGTCCCAGTTTTGAGCACTGTGTCCCCCGTCCCCAGTGGATTCATCCAAAACTATTGATTTGTACCAGATTTATACAAGAAATGTCCCTAATGTCCCTATTTTTAACCAATTTGATACCTGCCAACAGTAAAGAGAAGGTTTGTTTAGGTAAAATGCAGAAAAGCATGCTTAAAAATGACCAAAACACAAAGAAAATGTGACTATACTGACACATGTTAGTCGTGAATGGCCCGAGTGCTTAACAATTTTTTTAATTAAGCACTTGAATCAGAATATTATCCAAAATCATTGATCTGTATCAGATTTATACAAGAAATATCTCTGGTGTCCCTATTTTTAACCAGTTTGATCCCTGCCAACAGTAAAGGGCAGCATAAATTGTCATTTGATAGGTAAGATACAGAAAAGCTGCTTAAAAATGACCAAAACACAAAGAAAATGTGATTATACTGATACATGTTAGTCATGAATGGACTGAGTGCATGACCTTTTTTTTTTTTTAAATTGCGCACCCAGTTCTCAATATTATTCAAAACCATTGATTTGTACCAGATTTGTATAAGAAATGTTAATGGTGTCCCTATTTTTAATCAATTTGATACCTGCCAACAGTAAAGCATGGCGTACATTGTCATTTATTTAGGTAAAATCCACAAAAGCTTCGTAAAAATGACCAAAACACAAAGAAAATGTGACTGTACTGACACATGTTAGTTGTGAATGGGCCAAGTGCTTAACAGTTTTCCTTAATTTCGCACTTGATTCACAATATTATCCAAAACCATTGATTTATAGCAGATTTGTTCAAGAAATGTCCCAGGTGTCCCTATTTTTAACCAGTCTGATACCTGCCAACAGTAAAGCGAAGCATAAATTGTCATTTGTTTAGGTAAAATACAGAAAAGCTGCTTAAAAATTACCAAAACACAAAGAAAATGTGACTATACTGACACGTGTCAGTCATGAATGCATGAGTGCATAACGGTTTTCCTTAATTATGCACTCGATTCACAATTTTCTTATTACCAACCACCACAAACCAGGGCTGCTCCAGTTTTTTATTCTGAAAATCTGGTCACCTAATTATAGAGGTGTAATAACATAGGGTCGTTGTGTGGACATGTTTTGTTTACGTAATTCATGTACTAGAAGTAGAATGTCCTAGATGTGTCAGTCTGTAAACCTGAACTGCACTGTGTAGCTGTTATGATTGTATGGCACTTTTTATTGCATAGGCAGCACTAGGTTTCCTGGGTGTCATTGTAGGCCCCTACAGGCTACTGAACAGTCTTTAATTTATCGCTCTCTTAGACTATGTCAGGGGCATAATTGACATCCATCAGGTGAAATCTTTTGTCTAACTTTTAGTATAGAAGACAGTTACAAATAGGCATTAAAACTGTAGACCTATACATGATCTGTCTGCAGTTAAGCTTAATAGGCTATAATGATTATGCACAATTAGGAAACAATTTAGCACGGTAATCTAGTTTAAAGGGAACCATATTAGACTATATTCTGATCTATGATGTATTGTAATTCCCTCATGAGCGTCTAGACTGTATAAAGAAGTGGACTAAGCGAGTGTGACGTTATAGAGGCAAATTTAGAGTCAGGCTCCAAATTAGGAATAGGAATTTATAACGGACAAAAATGGTGACCCCCACACCTAGTTTAAAACCAAAATGACAAGGCTCACAGCAACAGTTTCTTAGTGTAAAGTCAATTGCGAAAAGAGTTGATGGAGCCAGAAGCAGCCCCCCATGAACACTTTCTATTTGGAACATGGCAGGAAGAGTGTTAGAGCCATTTATACAGCCTATGACCTGGACTCTGGAGTTGTTTTGTTTCATTCACATGTCAAACACACAAACCCTAGGGATGTAACAATAACTGAAATATTGTGATATCGTATCGTCAAAATTCTCACAATAATATCATGGAAGATCACAATATATCGAATTAATACAAGTCTCTTTGCTTAAATGAAGAGTTACGGTGCAGCAACAGCTAAAAAAAATAGAGAGGGAACTACATAGACCATGATCCTTTGCTCCATTTCAGCGTAGTCTACAAGAAGAAATAACAGTTCTAAGATTTTTTAAGTCTTTTTTCTTTGGATTAAGTCTTGTCAAGGCATTTTAAGAGGAAAAAGCTGCAACAGTTTTGTTTGCAGCCTCCACAAAATATCGCAATAAATATTGTACCATGAAATGTGAAAACATTGTACTGAGAGATTGGGATATTGTTACATCCCTAATCGTGAGCATCTCCATATATCATGAGCTTTCCTACGATATCGCAATAAATATCTTACAGTGAGCTTCATACCGTGACAATATTGTGTCGTAAGACTTGGATATCTTTACATCCCTAACAAGCCCTGCATATTTAGGGAGCCTTCTCTCAAATTGAAAACACTCCTTTGAGTTGCTCCATCGAGTTTTTAAATTCCATACGCCTTCACTAGAATCATTTGGATAATTTCATTTGTGGAATTGCATATCTCTAATGAACATAAGGTAAAAGGTAGCTGATAACTTGAAAACTACCACTTCATCTTAATCAGAATTGTAGGAAATATTTCAGTGATGGAAAGAATAACATATATTCTTAACCTGAAAGGATATAAATACAATGAGCAATGGGAAAAGAGGAATGCATTTATAAATGACACCAGCAAAACAGCATAGTGCATTAAAGTTTCATTACCATATGCATGTTTAAATAAGAACCTGTAACTCCAGACTGTTGTTGCATTGCTTTTTTTGTTTTAAGTTTTGAAAGGTTACCAGAAACTAATAAAAACAAAGTTATAAAAAAAACAACTACCACTTCTTGACATCACATAATGTAAACAGATCATTTTGAGCTTTGGAGACTAATAGACAGACTAATAATAAAAGGTTACTCAAACGTGTGAATAAACACAACTCCAGGTCTTTTTGAACATGACATTATAACACGGTTTTAAGCTCACAAGAGTCAATTTTGCGTAATATAGGACCTTTAATATGAGAATAGAGTGCTTGCTCATTAGGCTAAATTTAGCCGGGCCTATGCAGCTGTAAGAGGATTATGATGTCAACAATCACAATAACATGGTTATATTCCCTAAAGCCTATTTTGAGTTGGATTGCTAGGTGGCACAGGATTGGAACAATTTGGGTCTATGTTAACATCTTGAAACAAGTCTCCATTTTGTCAAACACACCAGTCATTATTTCTGGGTCTTACATAAACTCGTGTGAAGTAGTAGCACTTTGTCATAGAAACCCCAGATTCAAATGTTGACTGGTTGAGCATTTCAGATCAATACCAGTGTGTCTCCTGAGAGGGCTGCCATCAAACTGAATACATCTGCTGTCATATTTCTGACTTAGGCGACATTAAACGCTGTGTCTTTAAAGTGCTCATTAAAAGTGACTGGTGTGACAGTGCTGATGATGGGAAAGTCAGGATGGGAGCGCCTTAAACTGCCTTTGAGCCCTGCCCCCTGGTACCTTTAGTCAACTCATTTCACTGTTTGTGTTAGCTAATGAGCAGGGGCCTTTTATGCTGGGGACACAAAACAACTTAAAAATTGTCATTAGATGTCACCTGCTTGGAAACCTTTACAACAACAAGTGGCACTAACTTAAGACACAAGGAAGAGTCTTGCTTTTCCTTAAAGGGCCTGTACCCAATTTTTTCCCCATGTGTTTGAGCAAAATTTGTCTGGATTAAGTACAGATATATTGTATAAGCGGGTCATGTTTTGAGGTCAAAACATAGACTATAAAGAAGTGAACTGAGTGAGTGTGAAGTAGGCGTGTGCAAAAATATTGAAATATTGACATATCTTATTGATGATATCTTATGTATGATGATACAGTATTGATATTGGGGGCTGTTGTATTGATATGTCGCCAAGAGTATTTTTTTTGGTATATTTTTACAAAATTATTTTTTTTACAGCTCTACAGTTTTGCTGCTTTTTCAGTGGAAGGAAACTCGTTTATGCGACACATTTGACATTTTCACTGTTTTGATGATTATAATGTGTGTGTTTCATATGAACTTTGCACAAGAAATGGTTTAACAAAGACTTTTAGTATCACAGCCATGATTTTGCCTTTTTTTTATTGAACTGTCTCGAATCAATTTGAAATATATCGTATCGAATTGAAAGCTCACTGTATCGAGATATGTATTGTATCGTGGCTTGTGTATCGAGGTGTGTATCATAGTGGCAACTTCTTAATGATACCCAGCCCAAGTGTGAAGATCTCATAATGTTCGG